AAAATGTAATAAATACGTACAAAAACAAAAAGATTTATTTCCAAAAAAATAAAAAAATACGTTGCGAAAATGAAAAAATTACCTAATGTGGCAAAACTATTTTCTTTCTATTAAATTTTTCATCTTTGACATTTGTAAATTTAAAACTAGCTAGCAAGACTAAGTTTTTTTTTATTTATAAGAAGTATGGTTTCCTAGATGCGAGTCCCGATGGTATGAAGATACAATAGTGGAATTAAAATGTAATATTTTGTAGCAAATTTCACAATTAATTAGTGACGGTCTAAATCAAAAATAAAATCTTTAAAAACTACATATGTGGACAATTATTTAAAACAAACAATTGGTCGAAATTTATTTTGACAGAACTTCCCTCGCTTCTTTGAAAAATTATAAAATTAAATTTTGCTATGTTTGTTTTAAGATAACCTCTATAAAATAAAAACCGGTGGCATAATAACACTCTCGCAGCCCCTGCACCGTGGGAGCGCAAATTACAAAGTACGGACAATGTTAAAGATACATATAACAGTTAAATCAAATAACCATAGAATTATTTGAAATGACGTCATCAAATTGTTGGTGGGGATGATGAGCAAAATTTTGGTTAACATTTAACCGTCTGCATAATATTCCTAATATACGTACAATACATATTTGACAACAATCGGTCCAGCAGTTTCAGAGATTACGTGTCTAATAAAAATGAATACAGATTACAGACACGAGACGGACAGAGGGAAACAAGAGACTACTTTCTTCGTATTGCAGGGGTTATGAAACATCGAGAAAATATAAAAGTGGCATTCTTCCGATGGACTCGATTACTAACTTCCTTAGCTTACGCTCGGGAGGTAAAAAGAATAGATAAATATTTTTATTAAGTATAAAATCTGTTTCTAACTTTGTGCATATGAATTTTCCGAAAATAATTAAAAATAGTGTAATAACAATAACAATTTGCAGTTAATCTTAGAAACCACACAATCTGTTATAATAAATAATGAATATTAAAATTAAAACTATTTATTGAGAAGAGTTTTCTCTACAGAATTTTTCCTTACATGCTGTAATATATATTTGTATAGTCTGTTACTTATTTTTATATTTAATTTTACCACAACAATAGAATCATATACTTTTTACTTCCCGAGCGTAAGCGAAGGAACTATAATAATAATTAATAATCGAATCCATCGGACGAATGGCCACTTTTATATTTTCTCGACGTTCCATGACCCCTACAGTAATTAAAAAGTAGTTTCCCGTTTCTGTCGGTCTGGCTGACACATGTACTTTTAAACCAATGCCTGTTTTCATCATGCATTTGTCTCAGAGGGACATTCTAAAAAACATTTTTCATGTTTTAATGGGACCATTGTTTACTAATTGTTTATGGTTTTTTGTAAAAAAATAAAATGTAGATTAGCGTTTCCTAATAACCTTGAATTTTACGCTACCAAGACACAGAAAATAAATTAATAAAACGTAGAGCCGTTACCCGAGAAGTGGGGCCAAATCTGAATTTCAACACGGAATCTCTATTATTATTAATGCAAAGTGTTTAAATCACACCGAAGACTAGACAAAACCCGTTGGAAAGATGTATAGACTGCAGTTTCGATCTTGTTGGATCTCATCAGTACAGCATATTCCAACGAGTTGTCTAGCATTCATTGTGTTTGGCTTATGTGCTTAAGATTAGCAGACACATGTTAGTGAGTGGCAAGTGTGGCGACCTATGTGTTCCCCCACTGTGCCGAAAGATCGTACTTTCGCGATTTTTGGGGAACCAACCAGCGGACGGAAACAGCTACTTCCCGGACAAAAGCCCCGCCGAACGCTGAATTACACCTGTCTGCATTGGCGTCGCCACTTTCGCGGATAGCGGCCGCGTACCTCGAAATGTGCAGTGCATTCGAAAGAATTCGAATTATTTGCGGTGTGACATTCCTGTTATTTTCGAGTAAATGGGGAACCGTTCTTGATTTGGTAAAAAAACAAGATGAACGAGGATGCGAATGAGATTCGAACTTCACTAATGTAGATCTTATTCGAACGCCTGGTTGGCGCCCCAGCCCAAGCAGCTGCAACGCAGTTGTTCGGACACGAGCGAGATATCGGTTATAATCGTACACAACACGCAGCAAATATTGCAGAAACTTATTTGTAAAATAATTATTAAATATTAAATATTAAAACTAAACGCGGATTCGTACACTACAAGTGTAGGATAACGAACAATAGTAATCGGCCACTTTTATGTTTTCTCGACGTTTCATGACTTCTAGAGTACGAAAATAATAGTCTCCCGTTTCCGTCTGTCTGTCGTCTGTCCGGTTTTTTATTAGGCAGATGTCTGTCTGTCTGGTGTCTATTTTTATTAGACAAGTAATCTCCGAAACAACTGGATCGATTGTTTGCACATTTTGTTTGTATATTAGGAATATCATGTAGATGGTTAAACACTGATTAAAATTTGGCTAATCATCCCCACCACCAATGGGATGACGTCATCTCCAAAATTTATAATATATTTTATTTAATTTTGGAAAATAAGACACTTGTAATGTGTGAATCCGTGTCAAATTTTCACCCTAGACATCCAGAATTTTTGGAAAAAATTCAAAACCGAATAACAATATTTTGCAATATAAATTGAAACTGCAAAACCAATTGCTCTGAAATCTTGTAAATGTTTTAAGGTTATCCTAATCATGGTAAATCGTTAAGCAAAATTTATTCATTTATCCCCTCCCAAAAAAAATGATTAAATCGGGAACAGCTCACTCTGTTTTCCCGAAAATTTGGGAATACAATACTGTTATCATTAGTATTACTCTGCACCTAGCCAAATTGATATACGTTTCTTTACAAATATGTTAATGACGTCATCACAAAATTTCGTTAAGGTAAAACTGTTTTGTAACATCGCCCACTACGCTTCTTTACATTTACTTCAACGTTACAAGCATATCTTTATTTTAATTTATAAGGGTTCTCATCAAAAAAAAAAAAAATTCGCATAATCAAATTTTATATTTTTTCGAAAAAACTGGACTTGAGGGAAGTGCTGTCGAAATAACCTTCGACCAATTTTTACTTCCCGAACGTAAGCGAAGGAAGTATTGTAATCCAACCGACTCTCTACTTTTACAGGAGGAAGAAATAGATCTCCCGTTTCCGTCTGTCTGTCCGCCTGGCAGTCTGTCCGTCTGTCCGTCTGTCTGCCGTCACGGATTTTTATTAGACCGATAACCTCCGAAAGTACTGAGTCGATTGTTGTCACATTTTGTATTTATATTAGATGGTAAAACGCTAACCAAAATTTCTCTAATCATCCCCACCACTAATGCGATGACGTCACTTCAAAATTGTACATAGTAAATGGGTTCTAAATTGTATAAAATAACATAGTCCTAAACATGTAGTTTATGAGTCTGAATAGAGTTTTTACCCGAGACGTCCAGATTTTTGAAAAAATTATGAAACAACATTTTGCAATTTAATTTTGATTTTTGATTCTGCTAAACCGAATACTGTCAAATATTGCAAATGTTTTAGGGTTATAAAGAGCATAATAAATTTTTAGTCAAAATATATTTGCTTATCCCCTCCAAAAAATGGCGCATAAATCCTATCTAACAATGTACAAGTCTGTACTTGTAATTTATCACTCCATTCATATTTTTTGGATTTGCATATACAGGGTGACTCAAAAAAATTAATGAATGCGTAAATTTATTTTATTGATTTAATCAGGAACTACAAAACCGAATGCTTTGAAATCTTGGAGGTGTTTTAAAGTTATCATAAGAATGGTAAATTTTTGATCAAAATGTATTTGCCCATTCCCCTAAAAAATTGATGGCGTCACTCCCAAAATTCTGCTGAATAAATCCTATCTAAAATGTACAAAATATGTTGAGTCTGTACTTATAATTTATCATTCCATTAATAATTTTTGGATTTGCGTATACAGGGTGAGGGTGACTCAAAAAAAATTATCATTGTATTTCAGGAGCGAGGGAAATTTTTTTTATACGTACTTATTACATTATTTTGATAAACATCACAAAACTACAAGTATCTTGAGAAAGAATGTGTGAATTGTGCAAATAATAAAGTAAAATCTGAAACAAATTATCACGTTTACAATAGATTAAAGATGTCTTTCTTTTTTTTTGCGATTCACGATATTACGATTTGAACAAAGTAGAATGTAGTAAATTACATACACGAATCAATTTTTAAATTTTCAAAGGAAGAGAAGAGATTATGATACTTTTTAAATTGGGTGACGACACCTAGAAATAGTTCAGGCAACCACCACCGATGACGCGATGACGGCTTCAAATTCGGGTCAGAACTAATCTATGGGTCAGAAACACGTCAGAAACATGAAAGACGTCGACAGGAGTTGTCCCTTCTGTATGTTCTGTTCTCTACACTGTCACTGTCACTACAGTCTGTGAAACAATGGTCTGTGGTAGTCTGTGTTATCATTATGCAACCAGAAATACACAATGTTGCAGCCACGATGTTTTTATAGTGTGGAACGGTCTTTGTACTTTTAGTTGGAGAATTTTGAAGGACAGTGGCGCTAAGTTCGCTTAATATCTCAACCACGGTGGTAGAAGTAAGGTGTGGAAACAAGCCGCTCCAATTTGTTGAATAAAACACGCATCCCAGTAGGCTTATTTACTACGAAATAGTATGCAGCACAGTATGTCCATCTATGTATTAACATTTCAACTTGTCAGTGTATTTATGAATGAATTAAGTGACAGATTCGTTGGAGGGAAAATAAATCACAGCACAACGGTTTGTGGTTGGTCCTTGGTGTGAATCGTGTGATTGGTGGATGATTCGACATTTGTGATTGGGTAATAAATGACATTGGCATAAATGTCAAAGATTTAATGCAGTTTTCTATTACTTAATTTCAACTGATCTCTCTAGACGTCGCTGCGGTGTGGACAGCGAATGACATATAATCCAAACCACGCGATTTGTGTTTTCTACCAATGATTTTGAGGAAAGTTATGAATGAGGTTTCCACACCTTACTTCTACCACCGTGATCTCAACCTTGTAGTCCGTTCAGAAATTGACAAATGTGTCAAAACAAAGCATTTGTTAAGTTTTTCCAAGTTTTTAAACGTGTGTAAATAGTTTGAGTTTCTATAACGAATGTAAATAGTCTTATTTGTACCAATTTAAGGTAAGTTCTGGAAATGATGGAATTTTAAAAATACAAGTTTCAAAAATTACATTTGGAGGTTAAGTTGATCTAATAATATTTATTCAAAACTTTCTCTTCATCACAATTTCAGCAAATACTAAGTTGCACTCTCTACATAACATTTGTTTTATGTTTAACTGAAATAGTTTATTAACGTGTTACTTATTGTTTTGTGCTTAATTGAAATTGCAATCTGTAACTGGTACCACCATTTAAAAAACAACCTGGTTGGTCTATTGTTTGATGTTGCCTAATAGTAGTGCAAACCCTTTAAATTTCTTCACTTTTAAGGCATTGAGAATGAAAGATAATGAAGCAGAAGATAAAAAAGACAGGAATGTCTTTAAACTCCTATCTCAATTACGAAAAGAAAAGTTATTTATCACAAGTGAGAAATCCAACATCCAAAAATTGAATAAGGCGGTATGTATTACAAAGTCAACCACCCCTAAAACATAATCAACTTCAATAGATAAAAAAGAAAACAGAAATTCTGCTCGAAACAACTTGGATAACAACAAAACAAAGACTTCACCTGCTTAATCAAAGAGAGTTTACATCACAAAACTATGAACATATCAAGGCCATAGTAAATGCGGAATTTGTGGAAGCTAAAACACTTTTAGGTTTTCAGTCGGCTGTAAAAATTGAAAATTTGCTACAAATCTTACGGTCACAGCCTGAACAACTGGCAAGATGGCTTTTTTTGGGAGAACAAACGGCTGATGAGCCAGATCAGTTCTCAAGTGTTTTACAAACAATTGTTACTGGATTGTATGCTTCTTGTATATTTCCAGAGGATACAAACTATATGTTAAAACTATTATATGAACTGTCAAAGTTGCAGCTAATTAAGAGTGAAAATCCTAGACGAATGCTCAAACAGGGTATATGTTCTTTTAAGAATTTATATTTCATTTTTACTGAAGTCTTGCGTACTGCAAAATTCTTCCTAAGTGCTGCCTTAGAATTGCCCGTATTGCGTTTATCATCATATAGAGATTTCTACTTGGACGTAGATCCAGATAAAACGCTTATTAGGTAAAATAAGTGTTTCTTTTTTTTTTTGTTTTGATCAATAGAATTAATTTTTCAGGTACAAGCAAAATGAAAATAATCTAAAGGCAGAATTTAGAGACATACAAGAATACCGAACTGAAGTTATACGGAAACTGGCTGAATTTACAAACCATTTTATTTCATCCTTAAGGGAAAATGTGTACAGTTTTCCAAAACCCATAGCCTGGATTGTTTATCAGATTTCAAAAATTATTACAAAATCTTTTGGAAGTAAAGAGGTCACTATATTGATTTATTTTACTATCATGATTATGTGTATTCATTGCAATTTTAGGCAAATGCTATTGTTACCGAATTAATTTTTACTTTATACATTTGCCCAGCAATTGTTGATCCTGAACAATACTGCATTTGTGATGCGCAAATTACAGAAATTACGCAGCACAATCTAATGCAAGTTGGACAAGTGCTTCAAGTTCTAGCGCTTAACAAATTTGAATCTCCAGATATTAGACTTAACGATATTTACAGTTTATTGGATAATGATATGGTTTGTAATTTTTTGGAAGATATTTTATTCAATCTAGAGTATGATGATGATTCACCACCTCTTGATATCACACCACAAGTTGTTAGAAACTGTGCTCTAATTGAAGAAGACGAATTAAATAATTTGGTAATTTAATAAAATCAATTTTTGTTCTTTTTGTACATATATAATATTTTAGGTCATGTTTCTCCAAAAAGTCCATAATGAACAGACTCAAAATGATGGCGGTAAAAAGCTTGTTCTAGGAAGTAATGTCATAGAAGAACAAGTTGCTTCACTTATTCTACCTTCTTCACTGGAAAATTCACCAAAAACTAATAAACCATTCACCAACGGCTTTGCTGAAAACAACTTGAAGAAGTCCAATTTTTTGTCATTAGGTAAGTCCTTTCTATATCTTCTTTTTCATATGTATTTGCGTTATTTTTAAATTTACATAGTGCTTAAATATAAAGTAGTGAAGGATTTCTCTGTTCACTGGCTCCACCGTAAACATGTTCGTATTTTATATGATATAACTATGAAATGTATAGAATTTGGATTCTAGGTTATCAGTATTATTTTGTGTATATGTATGTGCTAAATTTACTGATACATTTGCCTTTTATAAGTATTAACGATGTGGAAGTCGAAGTTAGATTTTCCACAGAAAACAGCGATGCTATGATGCTATTTTGGGGAGAGGTTAGCAAATTTGCAGTTTGATAACACATATTATTTCTGAAACTGCTGAACTGATTATTGTGAAATTTTAGATCTCCTATAAAAATGTCAGTACACAGTATTGTTGCTGTTAGTGATACGTTGTACATATCAAAAATTTATTAAGAAAAATTTCACTGGAAATGTGCCGTTACCTGAGTAATATGCGCCTCTATTTATATTTAAAAATATTTTAATTGTCTAAAAACTTCAGAAACGAACGAAGTTATGTTTAAATATTTTTGACCAAACTTCTTTTTTTTTTATAATAATGTGAGGGACAACGTTATTCGACTTTGAAATGATAAATACATGGAGAAATGATTAACTAAGTTGTATTAGAGAGATGTGTACACAAATAAAGTTTGAATTCTTATTAGTTGTGACCTCAACAACCTTAATAACTCAACAAATACAGATCAGTAAAACATAACATGATTTAAGAAAATTAAGCAACTTCTGTCGTAATTATTAAATCAGTTGATTATGATTTAACAGGGTCTATTATATAAATCATGAATTACTAAATCGTTACAGAGTATGTTTTTGTACGTAAATTCAGATGTTAACCACACTCAATTTCCCTGTGTTTATAATATATTTTAATTATATCGTGTATTTATAACGGCCTGTATTGGTTAATGCAATAAAATAACAAAAAGCTCGTTAATATTGCTACTCTAACAAATACATTTTTTTCAGTCACAAAAAATCACACGTCTAAATCTAGAGAAGAAATGGAAGAGACTTTTCCCCTAACTGTACTGATTTTCTCACTGGACAAAGATGTATCAGAACCTGTGGGTTTTTTGCCAGAAGAAAAAGTCGTAAATATGAACATGAACATTAAGAAGGAGGTGGTACTTCCAAAACCACCAACGGAAATCATAACAGAAGCTGTAAACGGCCACGTAGAAGAGAAACAAGCATATTCAAATTTCCAAGATGAAGGCTCAATTGGAAATACTTCAGATAATCTAGAAGCCATATCAGAAGCAGCAAGCAACCATTCAGTTGCTAGCAGCCTTGAACTAGAAAACGAAGATCAAAATGACAATCTTTCTGATATGATTTCTGCTAATGTGTCTGGAAGAGGAACTCCTAACATCTCTGGTAGAGATACTCCAAGCTCTCAAGTTAATGATATTGAAGAGAGACCAATACCAGAAGCAAGACAAGCCGACATTGCTCAACCACAACCTCAAATTAGTAGACAGATTCGATCAGAAATTGACGATAAATTTTGCAAGTTTGAAATCAAGAAGCTGTTAGAAGGAGATGAGACTATTTCTATTATATCTGAAACGTGGAGTACGGACGTTTTAGCTTCCGATAATGAAACAATCGATGCTGGAGATGCACGAGGAGAACGTCAAGGCCTGCAATTGATAGATCAAGCAATTAATGAAGTTCCAACAGGAAATATCTTGGATATTTCAGAAACACAGAGCGAAAGTGCTTGGTCTACTGACGTAATGGCATCAGACACTGAAAGAATGACTGAAGTAGATAATGACGACGCAGGTAGTGTGGCGCAATCAGATGATACAAATAGTGTAGCACGATCTGATGATACGCGATCTGAAACTGAAGAGAATCTGGTCAGTCCAGCTAGCCGAAGGCTATCAGGTTCGTCAAACAGCTACGTAAATCACGTTAATTACGTAAATTATCAGGAATACAGAAAAGTTGAGATTAAGAATGACGTCAAAACAGACAACAATGCCAACAATGTGTTGTTCAAATCAGTGACTACTTTAACAGATACTCAGCAGATTGCCCATAACGCTTTAAGTTTTTCTGAGCTAAAAACTACAACATATAATTCAAATCGAGTTACTAATAGATTACAGAAAGATGTTCCAGGACCCAGCGGTTTCAATTCCAGTGCCTCTGAACTCTTGAAACAAAATAGTTACGAAGAAAGATCCAACGAAATTTTACTTAGTAACTGCAGTTTGAATTCCAGCTCTAGCGGCAGTAGTAGTAACAGTTTTGAAAATAAACATTCCCATGCTGAGAATTGCGAAAGATGGGAGAGCAAACAGTGGTTAAACAGTTCCGGAAGTAGCTTGAATGTTACATCCACTCCTTCTGAAAGTACGAGCGAATTGTCGGTTTTAAGCGTCAGTAATTTGAATAATCCAGTTAATATTGTAACTAAGAAATCTGCGACTGTATTGAATACTCGAAGTTTGAAGCCGTCTGCATCCACAGGGGCCATACCAAAAAGTATTAGTTTCGATATGAGCGCTGATAAAGGAGATAAATATTTGGACGATGATCAAAGAAGTAAGAGAGGTGGTTTCTTTGGAAAATTGAGGATAGGGTTTAAAAACCGGAGAGGAAAGTCATTTAGAAATCAAGAAGATTTTCGAATGGAGAATGATGAGTTTTCTGGATCAAATAAAAAAACGCCAAATGAATCTCCAGTCAAAGTAAATAATGCAGGTGAGTGCTTCTTTTGACCAATCTAAAAATGTGATTTCATTGAATTAAGTTGAATTGGAATTTAACACATGACAGAAATTATAAAAAAAAATTATGGGTACCTACTAAAATAATATTTCTGGTTTGTTTTTAAATACGTACGATTAATTTTAATATTAATTAGTTTCTTTTTTTTTTGGAAACTGAAATAATTTTGCTGGGCATTGTAGAAGCTCTCGAAATCATAAGGTCATTAACACATTTCACTGATACTGTAAATGGCAACATATATCTCTATTCATCTTCAGGTATAACTTTGGCAACTTGTATAACAGGTAATCATGTGTGGCATTACAGTGGCACTTCTCAATTATTTCCCTTCATAGCACATTAAACATGTAAATCTACAATCCTTCTTAGGTTATTCGATATATTGGTTAGATTTATCTATATTTCTCTTTTCTATCTTCGTCTCTACTCGTTAGCAATACAGATAATTTACTATATCTACCTTTCGGATAAAAAACAACGATACATTACTCATTTTCTATTTAATTTTGCTAAAAAAAATGAAATAGAATAGTATATTGTTCAACGAGTGAGAAAGTTGGTCATTGCACGAGAACGAGAGTTTCCGGAACGAGCCAAAGGCAAGTGGAGGAACTCATCCGAGTGGAATGACCAATTTCTCAGGAGTTTAACACCATATTTTTTCGGCTCATATAATCAAGAAGATATAGACAAAAAAATCAAGAATTATTTTTATTAACAGTAATGATGACGTGTAAACAAAACATAACCAGGCTAACGCATGGACGAGTTCAATTTTTATTAGGGGTGATAGTGGGGAACTGTTGAGAAAAGTAAATGTCGCGTTCTGATTGGACAAAAGCTGTAGAGAAAAGTGCTCATTCTTCAATAGATTGAAAAATGGTCAATTTTCTCAATCCAAAATGCAGTAAAAATTCAACATTTTCTCAATATGAGCAGAAACTAATAATTTTTGAACGCTTGCGTGGTATTCTTGCTGTCACTTAAACGACGGTTTAAAACACCTCCTTTAACTTAAATTCTAACGGAGTTGGTGTATCATATCAACAAAAAAGGTATGTTGAATTACTGTTATCATACAAAACAAGTTTCACCCTTTTGCAATGTAATTGAAATTTCGATATGCACTAGATAGGGGAAAACTAAAAAGATTGTAAAGTGGACAATTTAAACTTTATATGATTTCTAGTATGCTTATATGCTTATACTCGTAGTACAGAATAATTCAGATTTCTAATCATTCCAAAAGTTTAGTGAATTAATTGTGCAATTTGTAGATACGTACAATAGTTAAAACAGTTCTTTTAAGTTTCAAAAACAACACTTCAAATAAATTTAAAGAGCCTCTTAACTTGTCAAAACTTCTTGGGGGATAATAACAATATAGTAACCCAAAAATAAAAATTTTAGAAACCTGCATATACATATATTCTCGTATGTGTACTCAAATTTAGTTTAGTTTAATTTATTGACAAAAACCTTATTGAATATCTACATAAAACTAACATTCCTACGTCTAATAAGTAATATTATACTGAGAGAAAGTAATAAAATGCGATTAAAGGCAGCCATGTATTTTTGAAAATTTATCTTTGATCGTTGCATTTTGAATTCAAACTTTTAAATTAACAGTAATCTAACAAGAAAATTCTATCGAAAACAAGCCTTCAAAAATTCATGCCTGTCTTTGGTCGTGTTTTTGTTTCTCTCTCGGTATAATTCCAAAGTAAGTTGAGTTTTTTTGCACATTACAGCTTTAGTACAATCAATTCGCCATGAGACCGAACGTTTTCGGTAGACGGTGATTTTTTTGGGGAGGTTTCGTAAGTGGGTTGGCCATGAATCGAACACTGCGTTTTCGGTCCTGCTTTCATTCGGCCGCCGTCTTGAAAAGAAGGGTGCACTTAGGTTTTTCATTGGGTGATTCTGGCAAAAAAAAATTTTTTTTTATAATACGGGGTGTTTGCGAAATGCATGGACAAATAAATTGGAGGGGTTCCCGAGAGCATAAGGAATGAAAAAAACTCCTGTTGTATTATCAAAAGTTGCAAAGTAAATCTACCCTTTATCGAAGCTTTATTCGCGCCACTGTAAGAGGTGCTATCCGATTCAATTAATTCACTTTTTGTAAAAACATAACAACCAAAAACTGACAACGAAAGGTGAAGTTTGAAAAATCTCAAGTAAAAAGTCAAAAGTATTTTTTCAGAAACAATCAATTTGAAACAATTTTAACTGGATGCTTAAACATTTTGGAGTAAAGAATTATTTTAAATGGTAGTAATTAGAGTCATTTTTACTTCATTTTCCTTGCGTCGAGATCCTATTAGAACGAGGGCCGGCGAACCACTGTTCAGGGTCGCGGCTCTTCTTTCCCGTTTTTCGCGTTCCGCTGTGGTTTTTTCAGTTCTTATAAGAACGCGGTTCTCGACAGTAGTTCGCCGATCTTGGTTCCATTGGAATTCCGACGTGATAGGTAATCGTCTGCGTGCTCTTTTTCAGGATGTTGTCATTTTCTCTAATTATGTAGAGACTTATTAATGAATGAGCATAGTTAACAAAAAGAAAGTACTAATAAGAATAAGACTTTTCAACGACGATAACCAACTAAACTTTACTAATCAAATTAAAATAAAGAATAAAATTAACACAACGTTAAACAAACTATTACAACAGGTTTTCGAACTGACGGCCTCTATTTTGCACACATGCTTCTGCTCGCTGAATTAACGACTGCTGCGTTCTTCTAACCATATCTGGATTATTTCTAATCTGGGCAGCAACATTTTGAATGCGATTTGTCAACTCTTGCATCGTATTCACTGGAGTTTGATAAACTACCTGCTTCATGTAACCCCATAAAAAAATCACAGGGATTGAGATCGGGAGAACGAGGTGGCCACAACACAGGTCCATTCCTCCCAATCCATTTGTTTGAAAAGTTTCGGTCAAACCATTCCCGCACTTCTACGGCATAATGTGCAGGAGCCCCATCATGAAGGTACCATAGATCCCTACGAACATTTAAGGGTACATTTTCCAAAAGTGGTCCTAAATCGTTGTTTAAAAAATCTAAATACGCAACCGCCGTCAAGCGAGGGGGCAGAACGTATGGACCTATCAAATTGTTGTTAACCATGCCTGCCCAGACATTTACTGAAAATCTGTCTTGAAAATGCGTTTCCCGTATGGCATGCGAATTTTCATCAGACCAAATATAAGTATTACGAGAATTAAAAACTCCTTCTCTTGTGAAAGTAGCCTCGTCGGCGATCAAAAGCTTCTGCACAAAGTCTGATTGCACCCTAATTTTTTGCAGCAACCACTCGCAGAACCGCACTCGACGAGGCAGGTCTTCTGGTTTAAGGGATTGCACGCGCTGCACGTGGTATGGGTGTCCTTTTAGGGTTCGCCACACAACAAACAGAGAAACTCCTAATCTGTATGATAATCTGCGAATGCTTATGCTTGGAATTTCTTCCACAATTTCTAGTATTTCTGGTTCCACCTCTATAACATGTTCGGTTCTTTCACGACCACGATCCGTCGTACTTGGCTGAAATTTTCCGTTTTCCCGGAGACGTTGAAAAATGGCACTAAATGTTGTGTGATGAGGCAATCTTCGGCCTAGAAATTCCTCCTGGTAGAGACGCTGCGCTTCATGAACATTTCCAAATGCTCTTCCGTAAATCAAGACGAAATCGGTCATTTCGGCATAAGAAAAAGCTGCCATTTTAAAAGTCAATAAATTTTACGGAATTTTTAGAGTCACTAAGCAATGAAGATTACGTTTTTTTTTACAATGCACTTTTATTATGCAATTTTATTTCGAAAACTAAATTAGTTATTTATTATACAAGCGGTTAAAGTGAATGTTTAATGAGCGGTCAGTTTAAGGCGAGAGCGGCGTAATACAAAATTTTATTCAATTTTGACAACCCCAAGTCCCAAATTGTGAAAAAATTGGTGATTCAAAGTTCACATTCGAGAAACGTCAGAATTGACAGCGACCACGGCTGTAGCATAGATAGGTTGAGTATCTTTCATTCATTCACGTTCCGGTAGGTGGAATAATTTCTTTCCGTACCAGTTGGCCATGACGCGCGTTTTCAAATGGGTCCCTCTTACGGTATTTAGAGGCATTAATTTTTGCCACATCAAAAGGATACGATTATACCGACATAAATGACAACTTTGACATTTAATCAAAGCATTTAATAATAATTTTTATGTTAAACGTTCAATCTTTTGGAAGCATCTTTGACCATTGTTTACACCAGCTACTATGCGACTTCTCTGAAACCGTTTTTGCAGAACCCTCATACAACGCCCCTGCCCTAATCGCGTTCCTACTCTTCAAATGTTATGAGAAATGTTTGTACAACATTTGAAGGTTAGGTAGGAACGTGATCAAGGGTGTTGTATGAGGTTTTTGTGGGGGCGGATTCGGCAAAATCGCGGTGGCTAATGTAATCAATTACCGAAAAGTTCTTAACCAGTATTGTCAACTTGTTTTTCGAAGGAATCTGTGTTTATCTGGTCATCGCACATGCTTGTTTAATGATTGTTTACATGAAACAATAGTGCTAGAAATATGGAACAAACCTGCGGTTGCCGAGGTTTGTTATGTATAAATGTACGTTCCTCTCTGAGTTGGCGATCTCGTTAAACCAATTTAAACAGTAATTTCTATCATAATACATCAACTAGAAGTAGATTAGTAGAATGACAGTTTTGGCAGCCTGTCAGTTGTCAATTTGCCATTGCAGTAGTGGAAAATTTCATTCATAAAGATGTTAGTGTGTAATCGTAATTCACAGATGGCGAAACGATCTAAAGCGCGCCAAAGCCGCCTAGGACACCCAAATTTTATTCCACCAAATTTCCCTTAGGGCCGGTTTATCAATGCTCAGTTAAAAGTGTCTGTTAAGTAACTGTCAGATAAGGGTAACTAGCAGTTAACGGAGGTAAAGTGTTTATCAATGCACGATGTTTCTTCCAGTTTCGTAGCTCGAAGTTTAGCTGTTACTCTCTTAAGTTGGTAACGCTCACCCCACTGGAAATGAGTTGTGATTGGTCAGTTTAAAACTACCCCGACCTTGAAAGTTCCATCAGATTCGATCCGCATTCGGTATTCAACGATTGTATATCGCGTTTCACGTGATCAATCATGAAAAAGCAAAATTTAGCATTAGAAAAAAAGTATTGGAAATTAAAAATGAAACAAGTAGGTACACCTATAAATAAATACAGAAATATCGAAAAAGAAATTAGTCAAAGTTGGCCATGCATGAAAAGGCGTTTGTCTTAGTTTAAAATATTTTTTTATTAATCGTCACGTTGACAAAAGTAATTTGCACTGTTATCAAACGAAATTAATAAAGCTTTTTTGTTATTAGAATTTTCAGAAATGGGATAAATTTTAGACAAAATTGGAAAACGGTGATTTTAATTCATTCTTATGTGTTTTAAAAGTAGGCGTCATAATTCTAATTTTAAACTGTCAATTTGACATTTAATAAAAAAAATTAAATTACCCTACCACCGTGATTACGACAAACGGCTTGTCGTGCATGGCCTACTTCGATTAATTTCTTTTTCGATCTCGCGGTATTATTAGATAGGTTTTTAATTTTTGGTACCTACATTAGACCTGGAAAATAATCAGCTAATAATAAGTGTTTTTTTCATCTTTTCTCTGTCAATTTGTTGCACAACATAAGTCCTCATCAAAATATTGTTAAATTCATAACAGATTTATTTGGATTTCTTAGGTTATGTTGCCACTAACTGGTGGATAACGCTTTAACTGACAGTTTGAACTGTCAGTTAATTTATCAGGCACTTTGACCACCAGTTTTGAGCTAGCGGGTGATGATAAACAGGTTAACTCACAGACAAGCTTTAACTGCCAGTTACTTTAACTTAACTGCGCATTGATAAACCGGCCCTTAGTGTACCAACCTTATATTCTACAGCCGTGACAGCGACCAAATAAAAGTTTTATATGCGTAGAATTTAGGTTACAATATCAGGTGTGTGTGTGTAGTATGTGACTCTGGCGACGGTGTTTGTTTATTTTAAACAAACTAAAATTATCGAAAAATTGCAAAATCATGCAAGATTCCAACGGCAAAACTTGCTCCCAAAAAAGAGCAAATCAGAAAGTGTATCAAAAGTTCCTTAGATGGAAAGAGCAGCAAGGCATTGGAGAAATTACAGAAATGGTAACCATGGTTTCAAAACAGCAAAATAAAAATTTTATTTCGCTAGCGGTTTAAAAATTTTATGGTGCTACCGGATAAACCAAAGCTTTAGTGGCCTACTGACGGCAAAATAAACGTTTGTTTACATGTCAAAATTGAATAAACACTTATTAGAACATTTTTTTCTTAATGATATCTACTCATCCAGACCAATTTTCAGTTTTTTTTTGTCGGTGCATTTCGCAAACACCCTGTATAATCTACAACTTTTATCTTACATTTTCGGCGTAGCATTACTATTAAAATATTAGAAACAAAATAGTATATTAAGTATTAAGAACGGTAAGGGGTGTTTACTGGTCGAAGGCAAAAGTTTGGAGACGGAGCGAAGCGACGTCTCCAATTTGTCTGACACCAGTAAACTCCCTTAACGTTCGTGATGCTTATACTATTTTTTGTACGACCATCAAAAGATTTGCGTCTTTTTATCAAATTCATAAATTGAAAGAATTTATATCAAACATCAACAAGGTCGTTTTTTAATTTAAAATTTGTTACTATGGTTTCGATTAATATAAACAACAATTTTAAAAATCAGTTTCCATCATGTTTCCATTTTGACCGCTTCGATTTAGATTTGATCTGGCTTGATTTCGAGTTAATTTTCTTTCCGCGAGTATTAGTGAGTGATTTATTTGCTTAAAATATCAATCATGAGTGATTCTGAAAGCGAAAATGTCGAAGTCGAACACGCATGGAATTTAAAATAAAAAAAATCTTGAATGCATGATTACTTACCGTTCGCCTCTTAGTTGTTAGTCGTAGTAACCCGTAAACTGAACTTACTGCTATGGAAACCTATACGGTAAATGATCGAAAAAGCAATGGTCGTACAAAAAAATAGGCATATGAAAAACTAAGGGATGAAATTTTTTTGCAATTTCAATCGCAGTTTTATCTCTAGTTGCGCATCGTCAAATTTGATTTTGCACTGGCAAAAAACTGATTTAATCCCTTAATTTTTTCATATTTTTCTATCCATAACTTTTTTATTGTTAATGTTATATCAAAAAGTTATGCATAAAACTTATAAAACAATGATACCACCGAAAACTAAATTTTATCCTCACGCCCTACCACCCTATGATTCAAATACTGATTTTTATCCAATAATAATAGGAGTATAATGATTTCAGAAGTGTCAGAAGATATTTTAGCAAAATATAGAACAAAGCCGTATTTGGAAAGACAAAGTACTCCACTTAAGGGAACTAATGGGACTGAAAAATCAGCTTCAAAAGTAAGATCTGTGGAAGAAAATGGCCCCGATAATATTGATGTTAATAATAGTTTTGATGATATTAAAAAGAAGTTACGTTTAGTATTAAGTAATACCACATCACAAACTCCCAAGGTTATTAAGGTTAGTTCTGTTATTAATGTAGAAATAAGAGTTGACAACGTTTCTCATGACAAACAGTTCAGCTTTCGTTTTTCTCACTTTATCTCTCTCTTTTTTTGCTATACATATTTACCTAATCATTGTCATACTTACTACATAATAAAACTTTTACCCATAACAGGAAAATAGATTATCAGTGAAGAGTAAGGTTGAAACAATTCTTAGATTAGAGTTAGGTAAGGCGCGCAAACTAAAAGAATGGTCCAATATAGCCAGAATTTCCGAAACGTTGAGGTTTGTGAATTTGTTGAACGAAAGTACCTGCCTGAGCTTATTACAATCACTTCATGAAGACTACCTTCAACGCGCTGTCTACACAGAATATTTAATATATTCTCGCCAAGAGCTTCTATTTTGCCATTCATATCTAGAAGGGTAATTCGAATATACCCCCACGTATGTTATTATACAATCAATATTCTAGCCTCAGCGAACAAATAAATAACGAGAAACAACAATGCGAGAAGTATTTAAGTATGATTTGCGTAAAAAAATTTTTAATGGAACAAGAAATTAGGATAATGCAGTTTTGTGAAGAGTTCAAGGAAATCAGCCTGTCGGATGAAAAGTGCGATTACTTAAATAACTTCTATGATCAGTTGTATTTGGTGATGCAGAAGAATGGTCTGTGGCAAGATATTTTGAAAAACTGCGGAGACGTTATTAAAATTACGTTGGAGCGATGCATTATGTGCAAAATTTATAAATATGCTCTATATCCTAACGGTGATGGAGATCGCGACAGGGACCAGTAAGTATTAATATTATTTTTGGAAGTTGGTAGCTATTGTGATTTTTTAGTGTTCTTTTTCAACACATTGAGAAGTTGTCCAGTATTATAAGCCCTAATCATAAAGATTTAATGATTCATAAAATGTTTCTGCGAGAGATGCCATGGATACCCGCTCAAGATGCTTTAAAAGCTATGAATGCTTATAAAACACCCAGAGATAAAGTTAACTGTGTAGTTCATTGTGCAAAATGCATAATGGATTTGTTGTCGTTTTCTCAAAACGCTGGGTCTACAACAGCAGACGATTTTACACCTGTGCTCGTTTACGTAATAATCAGGGTAAGATGTGTATTTTTAATAATAAAGCATTAATATTAATAAATATGTAGACAACGCAATGAAAATCTGTAGATTGCAGTTTCGACCTCCTTAAGTCTCAGCAGTACAGCATATTTCAGTGGTTGTCTAGTTTTTAAATATTTATCTTTACAAGCGTAAAGCAAGCAAACTAACGTTAGTGAGATATATTCGTATTGACTCACTGGGTTCCATTTTCATTTTTGTCACAAACATGCAATTTTTAAATGACTTGAACCAACCAGTGGATGGAAACAGCTACTTCCCGGATAAGAAGTTTTCATTACCTTGTCTAAATGTTTATTGGTATAAAACGTAATGAAAAGGTGCCAAGAAGAGGTGACACCAGTGCTGGCAGGTGTTCTTGTCCGGGGAGTAACTGTTTTCACCCACTGTCTAGTCCAAGTCGTTTAAAAATTGCACAATGTTTGTGACAAAAATGATAATGGAACGCAGTAAGTCTCCCAACACATTGCTATCTTATATCACCGTAAAACATTAGTTACCATTTTTGTCGCTATAAATATATATGATGTATGGTTTGTAATATTCATATTTTATTAACTACTTTTCTCTAGGTTAATCCAAGATATCTTCTCTCTACAATACAATTTGTGAACAGCTTTTATCAAAATCAAATTGATGGCGAAGAACTTTACTGGTGGACACAGTTTTGTTCAGCCGTTGAATACATAAAAACTATGGATTATTCTGATTGACAAATACTTTTTCACAATAATCTATATATAAATATATTTCTTGTATAAAATATTTATGTAATTTCATTAATATTTTAATTTCTATTATTAAGTATATTTTAAATATGAAATTGTTAATACATTAAAATGGGGGTTTGAAATAAAAAAACTCAGTAAAATTCGACTTTTATATATAAAAAAATTGAGTCAAGGTTACTTTGAGAGAACTTCCCTCTCCCCTAAAGGATGTACAATACAACATATCCAACTCTTATGAAAACCCGTTTAAATTATAAAACAGTGTTAAAGTAGATGTAAACAAGCATAGTATGCATGCACTCCGTGGTAGACACGGTTTTTTCTCATAAAAAAAAATAACCGTAGTTTATTGTTTTAATAAACTTGTTTTTAAAAAGAACTTTGATTTTATTCACAATTCTTATTATTACCCTTGATTTTTACTGGATTATTTAATATTGATCATTCACAATTATCACTTCATTCTACTTCACAATTATTCACTTAAATAATTACAACTTATTGGGAGACCGCGATTATGACGGGCTTAAATGAATTTCACGGCGGCGGCTTCTGAACTAAACTACACGTTCAGATGTCTCTGAACTTAAAAATGAATTATTTCGATGTCATTTATAAGGAGGAAAACTACAGAATTGGAGTTCTCATGTTGATATTGATGCAAGTGTGGAAGCGCATCTTCTTGCACGTGGCAGACCCATGCAGAATGTGTGTCCATTGTGGACATGATTGTGGACTTATGCTGATATCATAACACCATTGATTTAAAATGTGTTATGTTTATGTATGTGAGAGTGACAGTGACACTGAAGTTTAAAAAAAAAAGCAAACTTGGATTCATGGTATTTTGAAATAGTATATTAAGTATTAAGAACGGTAAGGGGTGTTTACTGGTCGAAGGCAAAAGTTTGGAGACGGAGCGAAGCGACGCCTCCAATTTGTCTGAGATCAGTAAACCCCCTTAACGTTCGTGATGCTTATACTATTTTTTGTACGACCATCAAAAGATTTGCGTCTTTTTATCAAATTCATAAATTGAAAGAATTTATATCAAACATCAACAAGGTCGTTTTTTAGTTTAAAATTTGTTACTATGGTTTCGATTAATATAAACAACAATTTTAAAAATCAGTTTCCATTTTGACAGCTGTCGATTTAGATTTGATCTGGGTTGATTTCGAGTTAATTTTCTTTCCGCGACTATTAGTGAGTGATTTATTTGCTTAAAATATCAATCATGAGTGATTCTGAAAGCGAAAATGTCGAAGTCGAACACGCATGGAATTTAAAATAAAAAAAATCTTGAATGCATGATTACTTACCGTTCAGCTGAACAGTAAGTAATTTGCTTACCGTTCGCCTCTTAGTTGTTAGTCGTAGCAACCCGTAAACTGAACTTATTGCTATGGAAACCTATACGGTAAATGATCGAAAAAGCAATGGTCGTACAAAATAGATATTTATTTTATTAGGAGTTTAAGTGATACTTTATGTGACGGAGTATGTACGATTAAACGCCGAGCGATAGCGAGGCGAATTAACACGTTGACCGCCGCATGGCACACCGTATGTGCCTTGCAAATTTTTCCGCCCAGGCTTTGTGGCACAGGAGTTGTGCCATGTCAATTGCCGGGCTCCATTGTTTCTTGGCACCCTAGCTGTGCATTGAAACCTTCATATTTAAATGGGATATTATAAAGCGCGGTGCAGCGGACCCAGAAACGCAAAAACCCCACGAATTTTTTTTTGTTATAATTAATTAAAAATTATCATTTTGTAGTGGGTCTAGAAAAAGTTTAGATAGGATTATTTAAGCCAGAATTGCTAATATTATTTAAAATTACGAGAAAGAAAACTCGAATCCTTGATGTTGGACTTCAAAATTTTATTTAGAAGGAATAAAAAAAATAAAATAAAATAAATTAAAGTAAATATAAAATAAACATTATTTTATAGATTTCAAACAGAAATAAATTTGAAGAGCAATAATTGCAAACAAAACGTTTATGTTTTTATAAAACTGTCTTGTTTAAAAAAAAAAGTTTAATTCAAAAATGTTAGCTGTATTGATATGTAGATCGAGGTGTTTTTGATTATGCCAATTTCTGAGACGTTCATTTTGTAGCATACAACACATGTTCTTATATCTAAAATTTTCAGTTCGTGCATTTTCTCTGAATGACGTGCCAATGATTCAAGGCACAACATTTGTGCCACAACGGCCTGTGTGGCAAAAAGATAATCAGACGCCGCGTGGCACAGACGTGGTGCCTTTTAAAATAATTTAAAAAAACACGAAAAAATACAGAATTTTGAAACGAAATCCATATATTCTTCATACATAATACTTTTCTTAACATATTTATAAAGAAAAAAAAGTCAGCCTGAGGGACCTGAATTTTTCAATGCATTACGGCGGTTAACATGTTGTCCATACGAGTCACATAAAGTCACTTAAACTCCGAATGAAATACAATATTTTATTTTCAAACGATTAATCTTCTTTTGAAATGATTATTTCCTATCTTCTTGCTTCATTAAGAAATTGCCTTGATTTCACTTATCATGGTTACTATGGTTGACAACCACTATGATTTTCACATATTTATACTCCGGCGGAGTATAAATGTTTTATTTATACGCCGGCGGAGTATAAGTAGTACTTATACGCCGCTCAAACACGGTGTCATAGAAATGACACCGTGTTTGAGAAATGACACCCCGGTAAGAGCGTGATATAAGTGTCAGTTATATGACGTTTGAAAATAAACAATTTTCACTCTATATTTTGTATTTTGATTTGAGCTCACTTTTCCAGCCTTGACGTTCATCACGTTGTATTCGAACACACTCCCCCGTAACACAACAACAACAAAAAAAATCACAACGTATAGGGTTTCATTTTATTGACAACTAGCTTCTGTCTGCAGTTTCGCCCGTAAAAATTTAGGTTTCTTGCTATAAGTAGTTGTTTTTTCGAAAACTAGGCGACTTCTATACAATCTTTCATCCCACATTTTACCTCCCTATTTGAGGTGTAATTTACAAAAACGCAAGAATAGGTACTGGGTACTGTCTTTGCCATTTCTATTGAAACACCACCTGTTGATTTTGCTTAAAATTTAGCAATTGGTAACAGCTTTCGGTTGATTGACAACGGCTTTTAGTTAGAAAATTGCCTGAATATGAACGTTGCCAAATTTACGCTTAACAAGTGGTGTTTCAATAGAAATGGCAAAGACTATAAATGTTAATTTTTTTATCATTCACTTACTTGTTAAACTCTCTTAACATACATGCTGGGGATAAATGCTAAGTTATTCTTGTCAACACTATATATTTTGCCATAAAATGTCTGAGAAGTTTTTTGTATTGTACTCCTATTTTTCGACTCTTCATTTATTCAAAATTTCGTACTCCTTTTCGTACCTACTTCTAGAAGCACTGAGAAGTATTTCTGCGGTTGCTGCTGTAGCCAGAGCACGAATTTCTTCACTAACAATCGGCTCCATTTCGTAATTATTTCCGATGAACACATTTTTGGACAGCGTTGACCAAATTTGCTCTTTATTTATTTATTGTAATATCATAGTAACCCATATGTATAATAAGCATTCACGTTCGGTAGAAGTAGCTAACAGAAACTTTTCTGTGGTTAAGTTGCAATCTTAAGATCACTATAAACTAAAGATTGGCATCAACTCTCTAATTTTCTAATTCAAATGTCAAATCTGACTTGTGTGGAAAAAACACAGTTTTTCTAGTTTCAACACGCTTCGTTTCAAGAAAATCCTTAAATACAGCGTGGAAACAATTTCCACAAAAGTAGTCACAAGAAAGCCCATTTTAAAGGAAAAGAGACAAGAAATATTTCGTGGTTATCAAAAAATTACAGAGAAAAATGGACAACGCTTGAGTAAAACGGAAACAGTTAAACTGGTGGCAGAAATATTTTCCGTAAAGTTCGCTGATGTTGACGAGTGATTTTCGAATTTTAAAATAATACCGATACAATGGCGCCGGTGCCGTTAATATTATAATCAGAATCAGAAAGACGACTGCGCAGATTTATATACCTACATGCTTTGTTGGTTCCACTCTACAATTGGTTTTTAAGTTTTATATAATCGTTATTGTTTTGTAAGAGGGAAAACATTCGGCTTTGAGAATAATTGTACGTAATACACGTATAAATTTAGGCTTCCGAAGGCAAAGTTTTTCACATTTTAAACACGTTATAGCTACCACGCTCCCAGAATCAAATTTCTAAGGCGGTATCTCCAATTGCGTGATAGTGATGAAGATTTACTTTTCATTTCCTTGGATGAGACATGGATATATCAAAACGGATCTATGGTAAAATTGTGGATTCATGATGATGACATCAAATCTTGTCCTCCTAAAAAAACTAGTGAAGGGAAAAGATTCACAATTTTACATGCGGGTTCCTCTTTGGGCTTTTAGAGGGATGTGATTTTCTCCTTGATTGAAAAATAGATTCAGCAGATTACCACAAAACCATCACATTTTCGATGTTTGACATTTACTACGGGTTACATGTCACATTTTTGATACCTACTTTCTGATACATTATACACTAGAACAATTATGTCCGCAGTTACACAGCTTAAAAAAAAAGTTACCAAATCTAGTTACATCTACCGAACGTGAATTCCTTATAAGTAATACGATTTAGATGAAAATGTAATTTTTAATTTAAATTTGTTGCTTTAGTTTTATTTTAGTGAACGATAAACTAAACTAATGAACGCATTTCTCGCTTCGCTCGCTCGAGCGGCAAATATATATGCTCGAATGTTAAGCCTAAGTTACCCCTCTTATTAATACGTTAATTACCACAGGGTGGTCCACGAGTAACAAAGAGCCTGAAGTGTCAAAAGTTTTGACAAAACTTCAGATTGAAAGATAAAAACACGTTTTATTTTTTAATAATGCAGTAATAAATGTTCGAAGTGTTGACCCATGTATTTCTCACATGCGTTAATCCTATTCGAGAAGGATGTCTTAAGACGCATTAATGTCTCGCGAGTAATGGCTCTTATTGCTTCTGTATTTTTTTCTTCTAAATGGTTGCAGTTGGAACACCGCGTCACGCTCAGGATCTCCTCCACATCTCCTC